GATCAAATTTCTCATGTTCTAAAGTTACTGTCACACATGCACACCATGTCCCCAGTAGAGAAGGGTTGGTTTGGACAAAAGTTATCAGGATTGTCGACTGTGTTGTAGAGAGTTAGCTGCTGTACCATGGAGACCAGCTCTGTGCTAAATTATGGGTATTTTTTTAGTGTAATTTAATTTTTTTTAATTTTTTTTTTAAACAATGTTTTTTTTTTGTTTTTTTTAACAATCTAATGTAAGCCAGCATTTAAACTTAATATATATATATATATATATATATTTAATTATATTTTTATATTATTACTACTTTCATGTCGCAAACAAAAATTATACAAAGTAGGCAATCAATGCTTTTTCTTTTAAAAAAATTTTTTACCTCATCCAAGATTATGTTGAGATGTTTACATTCAGTAGTCCTTATTTTATTTATATTTATTATTTCTTTTGAATTTGGTTTTAATGTATTCTTTTCCTTCCCAGGACATCATTCCTGTCTGAAACATTGTCTTACTCTAAGCCAGGAAAAATAATAAACAGGTTTTGACTGGCTTGTGCTAAAGTACTGCACCAGCAATTTATTTGCCTTGCTTCTCTCCAGGTTTGTATTAAAGGGACACTCAATTGCCCTAATACAAAATAAATTTTAAAAAATAACTGTATAGTAGATATATATATATATGAAAATTTACATTAATTTAATTATGCATTGTTTTTCATTGGGGCATATTAAAAATAGCTTGATTTCTCTGCTGCCTTTGCAAGCAATCACAGACTTCCTAATGCTGCTCAATGAGAAGTCTTCGCAAGGCAGGTGCTCTGAGCAATTGCTGTCTCTTGAGTTTAGCTCCACTTGGCAAATGAAACCAGGAAGTAACAGGACCTGTTTTCAGTTTGAAAGCCAAAGGAGTCTTACCAGTCTAATTTACAAAAGGGACAATTTCTATTGAAATCTGCACTTTTTGCAAAAATGAAAAAGAGAGAGTGCACTCAGAAACATAGAATGTTATGGCGGATAAGAACCATTCGGCCCATCTAGTCTGCATAATATTTCAAAATATTTTTAATTAGTCCCTGGCCTTATCTTAAGTCTAGGATAGCCTTATGCCTATCCCACGCATGCTTAAACTCCCTCACTGTGGGGGGCGATCGTGGGATTGGCTCTTCCATATAAATAGCCAAGCACTGCATTTAGTCAGTGCTTGATTGTGCTGGTGTTGGCTTCCCGTCTCCTGGCTCTCTGGTTCTTGGTTACTGATCCTTTTTCCCGGTCCATGCTCCTGGTCCTTGTTCCAGTTCCTGGTCCATGTTTGTGATCCTGGTCCTTGTTCCGATTCCCTGTTACAGATTTCCAGTTCTTGGTTCTTGATTCCCAATAATACTGCTCGGCATCTAACCTTTGGCTTTGACCCTGACCACGCTTCTTGTCTCTGCCCCTTGGCTTCTGACGTCTAGATCTCCTGGCTTTTGAACTTCATTCACCTCCTAACAACAAAACCGGTAGATTGTCGTAAAATAAATACCCGATTACTCCAATAATAAATTTAACACGACTCAAATCTTTTAAAAATATCTAACAAAACTTTAACCCCTCTCAGCTTTTAATCCTCAACACCTACCCTATCCTAACCCTGTCATTAGCCCCTCTCAATATAGTAAATTAATTGAATTTACTTTGTCTGACTTTCTGTGGGGGGCAGCAATGGGTGACTTAGAAGTCTGTGCCTAAAGGCACCTGACATGTAAATCCGGCCCTGCCTATGACCTAGGCTACACTGTTACACCCAATCACTCAATGAGAACTTTTTAAAGAAGGAATAAAAAAAAAAAAGTTGACAAATGAAGGCAGGCATAACAAAAAAGAAAACCATCAGCATTTTGCTGATCTTTATAATCATAAAAGAAGTTCAACAATAACAGAAAAACTCTGAGATAGAAAAGCCAACCGCTAATTCTATACATATTTATTTTAACTTGTTGTCAAGAAAAAAAGGTACTTGTACGAATATCATAAATAGTTAAAATGTTTAGGCAGAGACAACAAATACAGACATGAAGCATGTCACTTTTATACATCTTCTCTAATGTTAATGTTCTTCAAGCAGGTTTTGAAGAAGAGTGAAAATACTTTCCACCAATAGACAGAAAGATTTTATGTCATGCTAAAGAATTTGGTAAAATTGTGGAAGAAAAAAAAAAGCAAAATCTAACTCTTTTTTTTTTTTTACATTCTTTTTTGTTGTGCATTGCATAACTGAAACGAGTACGCAAACATTGCGCAAAATACATAATAATAGGTATAGGCATATTGTAAAATATCGAGGAAACTGCACATTTTTAGTAAATAAGAAATAACAGTAACACAATTGTAGGTAAGACGAAGAGAGAAAAACTCAAGCTGAAGCATTCGGCACCTGGTGCAGGCCCAGTATTTGGATCCCCACCCTCTCCCCCTCCAACTTCACAATGTAAAAATCTCCAGATTTAAAAAAAATTTTTTCAAGAATATTTATTGCACACATTTGTAAACTGTATGTTAGAAAGAGTCCACTTAAGGCCCCATTAGAGACAACAATGTAGTCTAATGGGCCCCTGAAGCAGGGGTGGATCCAGAACTGAATCTTAGCAGGGGTGGATCCAGAACTGAATCTTGGAGGGGCACTTGGAGATTATTACAGGGACAATCCAGGCACAAAAACCACAACAGCACTCTGTAGTGGTTATGGTTCCAGGAGCCCCATGGCGCCCTCCCTTGGTAAGTAGTCAAACCATTTAAGAACAACTTACCTGGGTTCTGCCAGGATAAGGGCTGTAGTGTGTGAGAGGGTGCAGTGTGTGTGTGTGTGTGTGTCTGTGGTGAAGTGTGTGACAGATGCAATGTGTGTGAGCAGTGAAATTTGTGTGTGAGGAGAGCAGTTTGTGTGAGGAGTGAAATGTCTGTTTGTGGGGTGAAGTGTCTGTTTTTCGGGGTGCAGTGTGTGTGTGTGAGGGGTGCAGTGTGTGTTTATGGGGTAGATAACCCTGTATATGTGTGTGTGCATGGGGGCAGTGTGTTTGAGTGGTGCAGTGTCTGTTTGTGGGGTGTAGTGTCTGTGTGTGGGGTGCATTGTTAGTGTGAGGGGTTCAGTATGTGTGTGTGCATTTCTGAGGGGTGCAGAGTGTATGTATGTGGGGCAGTGTTTGTGTGTGTGTGCAGGGTGCAGTGTGTGTGTGTGGAGGGGCAGTGTGTATGAATGTGTAGAGTTTTATTAAGTGTGTTGGTAGCCTAAAGCAAATATATGTTTTCATTTGTTTTTTTTTATAAAAATCATATACTTTATAACCTCCCTCCCTTCTTACCTTTGCTCAGGGAAGGGAGCAGTTCTCAATCCCTGGGGTCCGGTGGAGAAGCCCTGGTGGATAGCACCAGCCCTGCAGGGGAGTACATGTGACAACCTCTGGGGGGGTGGGGAAGGGCAATTGCTACGAAGCACCACCCTGGATCCGCCACTGCCCTGGAGAGGGGTTTCTCCTTTGTGCATCTGTTTCTCCCCAAAACCATTTGTGTGTCTCTTTTTTTCCCTTCTCATTTGTTTGTCTCTTCCCCCAGCCTTTTTGTGTGACCTTTTGTTTCCTCCCCAAGCCTCTTTGTGTGACTCTTCTTTCCCTTCCCCAGCCATTCTGGGTGCCTCTTTGTCCCACTCAAGTCCCTCTGTATGTTGCCATTCTGGGTGCCTGTTTGTCCCCCTGCAGCCACTCTGTGTGTCTTTTTGTCCCCCTAGCTCTTCAGTGCATATTCTTGTCTCTCTCAGTCCCTCTGTATGTCTCTTTGTGCCCCCCGGACCTTCTGTGTGTTTCGGTTTGTGACCATAGTCCCTCTATGTGTCTCTTTGTGCCTCTTAGTGTGTCTCTTTTTCCTCCCTCTGTGAGTCTTGTTTTGCCCACCAGCCCCTCAGTGTGTGTCTCTTTGTCCACCCAGCCCTTCTGTGTGTCTGTTTGTGACCATAGTCCCTCTGTGTGTCTCTTTGTGCCTCTTAGTGTGTCTTTTTGTGCCCCTCAATGTGTCTCATGTCCCGTTTCCCCCGGCCCCTACATGTGTCTCATTCACCACTCGAGCCTTCCATGTTTCTCATTCCCCTGCCCTCCCCAGTCCCTCCATGTTTCTCATTCCCCCCAGCCCCTCCATGTGTCTCATTTCCCTCCTTAGCCCCTCCATGCGTTCATTCACCCACGCAGCCCCTTCATGTGTCTCATCCCTACCTCCCACAGCCCCACTATCTGTCTCTATATCCATGTCCTCCATATCCCCTACCTGTTCAGAGAGTCATACTAAGATTGAAGGCCGAGGATCGGCTGCCTCCCCTCCTCGAATGTGGCTTTAGGCTGCAGGAAAGCCAGACACAGGCTGGGAGCACCAGCTGCAGGCAGAATGGTACCAGACGATCAGTGGGACACTTCCCGGGGAGACATGCAGGATTTGTGACAAGAGTAGAGCAATAATATTGAGTTTTAGACTCAAGAAGTTGATTCCCCAGAGGAGCTCCAGCATCATGCGGCTGTCCTGGTCATCTGTCAGGCTCTTCCCCTCAAAATCTCACTGTTACGCACAATTCAGCAAGGACAGAGTACACGTATGTTAGTGTCAATGCATTTAGTACATTTACAACATCATAGTTCTTTACTAAAGTGAAAATTCACGGTAATTCAAACTGAATTCATAGTGAATTCAAAATTTAAGGCCAAGATAGCCAAATTAAAAACAGACTTGATGTGGATAATTTGACTATTTTGGACTTAATTTTGAAATTCACTTTTAATTCCTCACAAGACTCACTTTAGTAGATAACCCTGTATATGTGTAAATATATAGAATGAGTGAGATTGATGGATATTGTACTCCACAACAACTTAATTGCCAGAAGCTATTACTGGCTTTAAAAATAAGTTTTGTATATATCTCAGATCAAAGGGTTTGCTCTAGGAAATGAGCATAGAATTTAAAGAATACATTTTAAATATATTAATGCATAGATTCTCGTTAAATACTCCAGTTGTTTTTTTCAAAGTTCATGTAAAGTTAACGATCAACAAGTGATGTGGAGTAATTCCCAGCCATGTATCAACATGCTTTGAAATGTTGCATCAATAGCTAAAAGTTGTAAATCTAGACAAACAAGAACTGCTTTTTATTTTGTATTATTATTATAATTAGTAATTTTCATTAATATAATACTAGCTTTGTCACATTCCAATGAGAAAATTGTGTTTAGACGCATCCTTTTTCCCTTTCTCTAACAAAATCTACTGAAAGGATGTGTCATTATTTCTGAGTATAATCTTTATGATATAATTTATTTTATATATTTTTCATTTTCATGTATATTGACATTTTTAAAGAAAACACTACCTTAGCTGTCTCTCTGTCAGCCATCTTTATGTGCCTTCCGACATGCAGTCAGTTATCCTTGAGAAGGCTCACTATTATGCAATTATACGTTGCTTTTCATAATTGCCTAACAGAAAATGCTGCAAACAGAAACAGTACGTGGTTTTGAAAAGCAACAGGTAGATGCAAAATGTTGAGCTAAGACTGGGCAGTCTGACCGAAGCTGCATAAAAATGGCGGTCAAAAAGAGTGAGCGGGGAAAGAAGGTAAGTGATTTCTTCAAAAACGTTAATAGACATAATATAACCAAAAAGAAATAATATATGCTATAACAAAGAATTCCATTGTGTTATATAAGATTATACACTTTTTAATGGCAAGTATTCTTGAATAAACTGTGAAACTCAGATCTGACATGCAGCTAATAAGGAGAGTAATGTCCTATAACTTAAAAAGTAAACTTATAAGGACAATATAATAAGGGTGGTGCAAAATGAAAAGTCTATACCAGGGGAGTCAAACCTCAGATCTTTAGAAATGGATCATAATTACCTACATTCTCTAGCTTGACAAAAATTAGTAATCTATAAAAACAGGTACCGGACCAGGACTGGATTGAGCAACATTGCTCAAAATAAAAATATCCCTTATACCAGGGGTTCTCAA